CGCGTGGGCCGTGCTTGGGCCTGCCCCAGACAGCCCCGCGTGGGCCACGAGTGCCTGCAGCAGAGAGCACCGGCCATGGGGTTGACGAGGGGCCGCTTTTCCCCATGCTCAGCACCAGCTCCTTCTCTGCTGGTGAGTGTGGGGTCGGGGCTGTGTGCTGCCCCCCACCTGTACCGCGGGGGTTGGGGGGCACTGGGAGTGAGCAGGTACAGGAGCCAGTGGGAGCACAGGGCCTGCACCCGTGTCCCGGGGCCAGTGCCAGCGGGGACCAGAGCAGGGTGGCAGGAGCGTAGGGTCCCAGCTGGCAGGGGCTCTATGGAGCCGGGCCAGCTCCCCCCCACCCTAGCTGGTGCAGCTCAGCCCAGCTCCACAGACCTCTGCCAGCCTGTGCCCTGCTTTGGGCCCCACTGGTGCTGGCCCTGGGACATTGGTCCCAAGATGATGCCCAGGGGCAGGGCTACCCATGCAGCCCTCGACAGCCTGCCAAAACTGGGTAAGCAGCCCTCCGCCCAAAATAATTGCCTGCCCCAGATGCATACTGTCACTGCTCCTGTCTAGTCAGGTCTCCAAGGACCAGAGCCATAGCTATGGCTGTTTGGGGGACATCATATAGGTCTGATCCTTGAATGGCAGTGCCAGGAGCAGCCCCGGACCCTCAAGCATGTAAGGGAGCCTTCCCATACATCTGATCTCTCCCTTGCAGCACAGCCCATGGCAGGCTCACCTCTCCTACTGGCTAGAACATGGATTCAGCCATTTTTCTCCTAACAGAAGTGGGTGCTGCCACTCAGGCATGGCAACCTCCCCTTCCCCAGAACAGAACAGGGGCCTAAGAATGAGACTGTGCAGCAGTGATGGTCATTCTGTGCACATACAGCACCTAGCAATGGTGCCCTGACTGGAAGAGATAAGCACTTTAGTACTACAAACAATGACAGACACTCCCCTCCACCCCCAACAGTGAAGCATGTTCTCTCCACTGGGCACCTATACCCTTGCTGGCCCAAGGAGCTGTGTATGCCCATCCCTGCTGCCCTCTGAGCTTGGGCTCTTCTGCATCTTCTACTGCCCTTAGAGCTAGTGAAGAAGTGTGTGGTGGCAGCCCCAATCATTGCTCTTTTTGAACCCAGGCACGAAAAATGGACTTTCCTTCCCAAGATGGTTTATTTTCCATAACAGCCAGAGATGAGTGTCAACAGAAACTCTGTGGGCCTGACCTCCCCACTCAGGGATGCAGTGATAAGTGCTTCCCAGTACTGGCGCAGGGTCAGTATCTTTGTTAATCACTATGCAATTCTTTCTCCCTTAGGATGAAAGCCTCAAGTTCTGGCTCATTCTTTCTCCACCACCCATTGGAAAGGGAACTGGTTTCACAAGCTGTCTTCAGCTAGCAAACTGCTGAGAACTCCATGCTTCCACTCAAGGGCACTGAGAAGCTCTACTACAACTAAACTGCTGACTGAGCAGCTATCCTCTCATTCAACATCCTGAATGCAGGTCCCTTTGGCTTCACTTGTTTGAAAAAGCCTCATTGGCTGTTACTAAATCACTGGAGAGTCTGAAACCCATTCAGAACTATTCATATCTTGTAAAAGTCAAAGATGACACAGCAAAGACAGGTGCCTCACTGCAGCCCTCTTCTCAAGAGAAGCAAACAATACACAGACTGGGAAAAACAGGGGCTCTTTTCTGACCTGTGGATGGTGAATGTCCTTGATCAGACCACCTTTAATCAGCGGTTTAAACTCATCCAACTTTTGTTATGAGAACAGTGCAAGGCTGGATCATCACCCTTTGACCTTGTGAGCTACAGTGAGTTGTCCCAGTATGTCTGCTGCCTTGTTTAGGCTACATGATGTTACGCCGCTTGTAGACCCACCTACTTTCCTCCCCTGATCTACTCTTAAGAAACAGAGAGTGGAGCCCTTTAAAAGGATACAACTTCTGGATGAGGTCATAGGCATGTTTGTAGTTCTGGGTGAGGAAGCAGAGGGACACAGTTGTCACAGGGTTGTGGCACCAGGAACGGTACAGGCAGCAAAACAGGTTACGGCTCTCCTGGGGAAAGAGAAAGCAATGAGTTAGAACTATAGCTGGAACACACGGGTCTGTACATCAAGCCTCAGGTTCCCCACACCTAGACTGCCTGAAGTCAGAGGGTCAACACATAATAGGGTTGATTCAACCTTGGATTCCTCCAAAGCAGAGTCAAAGTACTACACAGGACATCATGGAGATCCCTTGAAAAGATATTAAAGGAGATATTTCTGGGCTTCTGAATGTACAAACACGCTTGTGTATTGCACTTGACTGGTGACAGCACATGTAGCTGTGATATTTACCTAGACCAGTAGTTCTTAACCTTTTTAGACTCAAGACACCCCTTGGGAAATAACAGTTCTGTTTTCACTTGATTTTTGACTAAAGAAACGTAATAGAGCAATTCTTCTGTTGCAAAGAACTCAGAAAGACCTCAATAGGTCAGATGGTTTTTAATGCTATGAATTCTTATTTGAGATCTCTGGGTTTATCTTGTGAATCATGGGTGCACACCCAACAGTGCTAATATTGTGCTCCTCAGTGCAATACCCTTAACAGGATATCAAGGCACCCCAGGGTGCCAGCACCCTAGTTAAGATTCACTGACCAAGACAAATGACCATTTTAATCTCCCTGGCTATTGGCATGAGTATTTGTTGTAGTGGCTCCCTACTGTGAGGAAATGCAGATGCAGGTCTTGGGAGGTCTTCTGCTTGTTGAGAGCCAGGGTCCAAGATGTCACAGAGGGACTACTGAAGCTCATCTGGCCCTCTGACCCCATGCTGCTCATCCATGTGGGTACCAATGATACTGCCCTGAGTGTATCAAAAGTGACTACAGGGCTCTGTGTGCAAGGGTGAGGGTGCCTGAGGCTCGGGTTGTGTTCTCACCAATCTTTCCTGTCAAGGGAAAGGACCCGGGCAGGAGTAGGTGCATCCTGCAGATCAACACCTGTCTGCACAGTTGGTGTCACCAACAGGGATTTGGCTTCTTTGACCATGGGATGTTCTTCCAAAAAGGATTGCTGGGAAGAGATGGGATCCACCTGATGAAGAAAGGGAAGAGCAACCTCACGGACAGGCTTGCTAACCCAGTTAGGAGGGCTTTAAACTAGGGTCACCAGGGGATGGAGACCAAAGCCCTGGGGGAAGTGGGAGACCTGGAAGTAGAGTAAGCAGGAGAGGTGCAAACATAGTGCCCATATTTAAGAAAGGGAAAAAGAAGGATCCAGGGAACTGCAGACCAGTCAACCTCACCTCAGTCTCTGGAAAAATCATGGAGCAGATCCTCAAGGAATCCATTTCTAAGCACTTGGAGACGAACGTGATTAGAAACAATCAGCATGGATTCACCAGGGGCAAGTCATGCCTGGCCAGTCCGACTGCCTTCTATGATGAGATAGGCTCTGTGGATGTGGTGCATCTTGATTTTAGCAAGGAGACCTGGAAGTAGAGTAAGCAGGAGAGGTGCAAACATAGTGCCCATATTTAAGAAAGGGAAAAAGAAGGATCCAGGGAACTGCAGACCAGTCAACCTCACCTCAGTCTCTGGAAAAATCATGGAGCAGATCCTCAAGGAATCCATTTCTAAGCACTTGGAGACGAACGTGATTAGAAACAATCAGCATGGATTCACCAGGGGCAAGTCATGCCTGGCCAGTCCGACTGCCTTCTATGATGAGATAGGCTCTGTGGATGTGGTGCATCTTGATTTTAGCAAGGCTTTTGATACAGTCTCCTACAACATTCTCCCAGGCAAGCTAAGGAAGTATGGGCTGGATGAATGGACTGTAAGGCAGATAGAAAACTGGCCACAGCATCAGGCTCAGAGAGTAGTAATCAATAGCTCAATGTCTAGTTGGCAGCTGGTACTGAGTGGAATGCCCCAGGGGTGGGTCCTGGGGCTGGTTTTATTCAATGTCTTCATCAGTGACCTGCAAGATGGCATAGAGTGCACCCTCAGCAAGTCTGCAGATGACAACAAGCTGGGGGGCGTAGTAGATATACTGGAGGGTAGGGCTGGGATTCAGAGTGACCTAGACAAATTGGAGGATTGGGCCAAAAGAAATCTCATGAGGTTCAACAAGGACAAGTGCAAAGTCCTGCACTTAGGATGGAACAATCCCATGCAGCAGTACAGGCTGAGTGCTGACTGGTTGCTTTTGGCAGCTCTGCAGAAAAGGACCTGGGGGGGTATAGTGGGCAATAAGCTGAATATGAACCAGCTGTGCACTTGTTGCCAAGAAAGCTAACAGCATACTGGGCTGCATTGACAGGTGTGTTACCAGTATGTCAAGGGACGCGATTATTTTCCTCTATTCAGCACTGGTGAAGTCATATTTGGAATACTGTGTTCAGTTTTGGGCCCCCCACTACAGAAAGGACATGGACAAATTGGAAAGAGTCCAGTGGAGGGGGACAAAAATGGTGAGGGGGCTCGGGGACATGACTAATGAGGGAAGACTGAGGGAACTGGGCTTATTTAGTCTAAAGAAGAGGAGACAGAGGGGACTGAATAGCAGCCTTCAACTACCTGAAGGGGGTTCGAAAGAGGATGGAGCTAAACTGTTCTCCGTAGTGGCAGATGACAGAACAAGGAGCAACGGTCTCAAGTTGCAGCAAGGGAAATTTAGGTTAGATATCAGGAAGAATTTTCTCCCTAGGAGGGTAGTATAACACTGGAACAGATTACCCAGAGGTAGTGAAAGCTCTATTCCTGGAGGCTTTCAAAACCCAGCCAGTCAAATCTTTGGCTGGGATGATCTATTTGGGGCTGGTCCTGATTTGAGCAGGGGGTTGGACTAGATGACCTCCTGAGGTCCCTTCTAACCCTAACTTTCTATGATTCTATGAGGAGGGGCACATTTTCACACAGGTATACGTGGAGATGATCAGAAATGTGGACCACTCTGCTTGTGGTATAAAGTACAGAGGGTGTGCTGTACATTTCTTGCAGCCTGTTGTGAGTTGCTGCACTTTACCCCAGAGCTGGTGACATTTCAGTAATGCTGTACAGAAGCTCAGGGAGCAGAAAACTGCAATGCAAATTTAGACTAGAGTTGTCCTAAGACTGTAGAGAGGCAGGTGGAAAAGTCTCCCCTGACTGAGGTCTTTTGTGCCAACCTGAAAGTCCAAGTGATTTTTTTGCAAATGATTAACAAGAGGTTCTGAGGGAAATGCTGACAGTCCCTTAGCTAGTGTCATTTTGCCAATGCTCTAGTATGCCAAAGTCTCCCTCACAAGGGCAGGATGGCAAAGTGGTTAAGAAATCTAGCTATGGCTCTAGAGGTGCAAACTCAAGCGCTTCTTTGAGCTCATGTTAAAGACTTCCCTAGGTCAATTCAACAGGTATTGCCCATTGAAGAGGTGGGAGATAGCAGAGACAGGCAGACCTAATGCTGGCCACACTGTTCCCCTGTGCGCCATTAGCTACATAACCCGGTGTGCCCTAGCCATGCCAGTCTGATGGATTTGTAGGGTGGAGGGGATCTGTGACCTCAATTCTAGGCAGAATGATAGAAACCTCCTGGGACTAAATGCACAGGATAGGGTATACAAGCTCAAGACTGGTTTGTTTTCTCCTTTCAGCAGAAATCCCTGATGGCTCTCCTTAGTCATTAGTGGTTTGGTAATTCTGACTACTGCAGTAGGCACAAGCCAAGGCAAGCTGACTCCTCCCCTGCTGTGGCTTGAGTTGTTGTCACCCAAACCCCCCAGAGCAGCACAGCATGTGGCAGGAGACCGTGCCCGAGAGCCATGACAGTGAAAGGGGTGTGGTTGCTACTGACAAAGCCTGCTGTGCCTTGGCATGTGAGTCATTAGCTGTAAGACCCACCAAAGGACTGGACTGAAAAACTGTCTGACAGCACAGACCTAATTACATGGGAGAGCCCTGAACAAATTAGTCAACCAAGTAAACAGCGTGCAGACAGCACTCCAGCCTGTTTCCCCCCATCCCAAACCACTGATTGGGGACAGAGAGGAAGATGCCAGAATACACTTGGCTCTAGAGCAGAGCAGTACATGCCATGGAGGCCCTTTGAGTGGCACAGAAGTCAGAGCACCTGGGAGGGTACAGGAGACATGGAGGCTCCACAGAGGAGGTACCTGCAGGCAGGAAGGGCTGGGTGTCCACCTGGGCGTTAGATCAGGTGAATGCAACTCAACAGTAAACGAGAGTAAGGAAGACTTAGCAGATGGCAGCTTCTTTGGAGACAGCCAGCCCAGCCCATCATGAATCCAGAAAACACACGCAGTGTCTAGAAAATAGTTTAGCTGACATTAGACTCCCAGACAGAACTCTTATGGGAGTTATGAGGGAAACGCTATTCCCCTCAGACCAAGGTCAAGGCTGAGTTAGAGCTTAACACTCCCCTCTGCAAAGGCCAGAAACTAGGCTCCCCTGGGCGAGCATTGCCCTTAGCTAGAGCACCCTGCTGAGTTATGGCTACTGCATGAGGGCTTTAATGTCCTGGATACAGGTTCATTGGGAATGAGGGCAGAGATGCTGTTGGCTAATCCCCATCTCCCTCACCAAGTCTCTGGACGGCACCAAGTTGCAGACAGCCAGCTCTCTGGAGCCCACATTCTCCTGCACGTAGCTATTTTCCCCACTCCACAAGCCTTGCAGGGATGTCATCCTTCCTAGCAGCAGCAGTTGCTCTGGCCATGCTGCAAGCTCTTCAGGATGAACAGTTGAAGCTGAGATCAAGGCTCTGAAGGGAGTGTGCAGGGGGATCCTACTGCCATCACCTGTCCCCTCTATAGCATGTGTATGCTTAGGGCAAGAGGGACAGACATCAGCTGCTAGGAAGTCAGAAGAGAGAAGCCCAAAAGCCATAAAGGCTTTGGAGATCTGTGTCCATACCCCCTTACAAAAGGTGAAACAGGAATTGGTAACACCCTCCAAGCCCCTTGGCCATCATTGGGCAAGGTTTGTCTCTATGTGATTAATGACAATCACATGCCAGCTTGGTAAACATGACCTTCCATGCCAATTCCCACTGGAGATCCCTGAATCAAACTCAGGGGAAACTTTAATCCAGCCTACACAGGAGTATTGGTCTCCTGACCAAAGTGTTGGACCAAGACCCTGGAGACCTAGATTTAATTCTGAGCTATGATGTTTTTTCTGTGCGACCCTGGATGAATCAACTAGCTGTTCTGTGCCTCAGTTCCTTTTTTAGAGGCAGATGCCCTCCCCACCACCCTTTCTCCAGCCTGTCTAGCTTCTATAGAACAAGTGCTACCGGTCTCATTTCAGAGTCCCTAAGCACTACTAAAAGACATGTAAAGTTGCAGGCAGTGGACACATTTTCAGAAAGAAGAGAGCCTATTCCAAGAGTGAGCCTAAACATGAGGAAATTTCAGTCAAAGGAGGCTGCAAGCAGGTTCAAAATTGAGCTGTAATGTGGAACCAATTCTCTGGTGATGGGAGCATCTGTTAGGTGTGGACAGACAGCTGAAGTGCTTTAAAATTATAGCACTTTATAGCTAATCCACTGTATCCATTTCATGTCTGCTGTATTCTACTGTAAGTGGAAGCTAAGCCATTGTAACTTTAAACCTGTTTCATGCAGGTATACTGGTACAAGACAGGACAGACAAAACAGTTACATCAGTTCACCTGATGTACTCTCTCTGGAGCAGTTAAGTCCCTCCCCACTGTTTAAAACTGCCTGTTACATCTGCCCATAGCCATACAGACCTGAGTCTATTCATTTGCTGTGGCTTTGTCTATTATCCCCCCACCTCTTGGAATAGGTTCTCTTCTTTCTGAAAATGCACAAGTGAATGAAGACAGTGCTTGTGCACACATACCGCTTGTCATCAAACAAGTCACATTCCCATGTCCAAGACAGACCCTTCTCTTAAATTATGATTGTGACTGCTTTCCCTAGGGAGATGAGCTGCATGTATGATGCTTACAGGTCTATTCAAAACCTGCTCTTGGACCTACCATTCCTTCAAACACAGTGAGCAGAAAGGAACCAACAGTTAAAATTTGCATCCATCCAAGGACTTCAAATCACCTTACAAACACGAAACCTCAGCATCTGCTGTGAAAGCTCAAGTACACAGCAAATCCAACAGGTACAGCAGCAGCTTAGGGGACCGCTCCAAGGCCAAGGAGTCTGTGAAAGCAGCAGGAAATCTGAATCTCAGAGACCTTATGACATCCCCCTCCTCATTCAGCACTACTGCTTTGACTGAGCCCTTCCAGGACAGAGAACAAACAGAATATTTGGAAGCTTTGTACAAACAGGCCTTAGCAGTAAGGCTTCTTTTACGATACAAGAAACATGGAGAAATGCTAGGAAGTTTAGATTGCTGCAGTACTGGACAGGAGCAACAGTCTGTCCTTCTCCTCAGCAAAAAATAGAATGAGTTGAGGGTAAGACAGCTATTAGAAAGTTAGCCTGATGGGACTAAACCTTGAAATTCAGGTAAAAAAGGGCCTCTGGTTCATTATAGCTTCAGTCATGCACACACGTAAATGGTGGGAGAGATGGGCAGAGCCTGCTTATGTATATAGGGAGCATTTTCATTCAGCTTACCAGTGTCTTCAGGTCTTTGAGCTGGTTTCTCAGCTGGAAGAGCTCAGAGGATGTCAGCAGTATAGTGTTCAGGGTATGAACCATGGTAGAGGCAAACTTAAGGTCCTCCTCCCGAAGCAAGATGTCTGCCATGGAGTGGAAGATGTTCTCTGCATTCAGCAGTAGACAAAGTTGCCTGTATGTCAACAAAAGAATAAAAGAAAGTTATTCTTCCAGTCTACAAGGTAACCCTACAAGATCCATGCACCATACACCAGTTGGTAAGGTGTCCCTGACTGATGCAGGGACATTAGGGATGGGAAAAGCACAGCAGGGTTGCATCTAAGCACTTCCCTATAGGCCAGTATAGTCTTTGCTCTCTCTCCAGTGCTCTAGCTTGAACCAGCCCAGTTCCAGCCACTGGTGTTCCTGCCACTTCCCTTATGACCAAAAAAAAAAAAAAAATCAAAAAAAAAAAAAAAATCACACCTCTGACTGTAAGGAAAGTTTGCCTTTTACTCAGCAAGCATAATTGCTTGCGTACTTAATTTCACCCCACTACTATCACTTGTATCATTTTGGACACCCCAACAACCCTTCTTCCTTAGGTGTTGGGACCTTTCCAATGCTTGCAGAGAGAACTGGACCATCTCACTTTTCAGGGCATGTTTGACCAACTGACACATCCTGCTACTCTGCCTTTCCCTGTGAAGTAGGGGACTCTCTCCAGCCGACTCACTGATGCTACCCTTTCTTGAACCTCCTTCTATTTCCCTCTCTGTGGCACGGAGACACCCACGTGTGAGCACACTGGTCTGGTAGCAGGGAATAGCACCCCCTACCTTCTGCCTTGAAGCAAGGCCTCTGCATATACAATTCTGTCATAGCACTGGCTTCTGCTACTGAACATAGCTGCTGGCTTTTCATTCCCCCCTCTCGATCATTTGACATCACTATTTCCCCCTACTGCAGGCTGGAGGAGTTTTGCTTGATGGCTGTTAAAGGTAGACGTGTGCAGACCAACAGGCTATTGGTGAGGACCAGATCCTGATACCTGGATTCTAACACTTGCCCGAGTACCTGTTGCAAAGACCACAGACACAGGTAAAGACTTTCTTTCTCTTTTTAAAAGGGAAAACTGAAGCACAGCCAATGTGTTTGACTGGATGCCCCCTAGCTAGTTGGTAACAGCCAGGAACAGAATCCAGGTCACCTGACTTCAAGGCTTGTGCTCAGTCTACTTGGACACAGCTGTTTGCATGCTAAAACATATGCACTCCTACAGATACACTTTCTACCACCTGGATGATTTTCTTTGGAAAACTCCAGCTCTGTACAGTTCTGCTCATATGTTGCCCCTCAGATGCATCATCCGGGTCAGAGTAAGAATGTTCTGCTTAAACTGAAGCACACTCAACATTTTTAACATTTTTTACTAGGAACCAAAAACCACATTTTCCTCTGTGTTTGTTTGGATTTGACAATGTTTTGTTCTCTTTGCTACAGAGTTAAGTCCACCCAAATGACTGCATCTCTGGGCAGTTTGTTTGAAGACACCTGAAATACTGCTCAATGTTGCCTTTGCTGTTCTGTACTAATATGGAAGAGACATGGGAAGCCATGATCCAAACACTTCAGTGCCTTGAGAGGAATTTTATCCATGGTCATTGGAAGTGCTGGGGGAGGGGCCAGAGGCCAGGAAATACAGGCTTAAAAAAATATGTTCGATTTTAGATTCAATGTTTGAAGAGACGTTCATGCAACACTTGCTCTTTCCTGAAGTTCACGAGTAGCCAGTCAGCCATTCACCTGGAGTTGGGTAGGAAGGGTGCACAACATGCAGAAGGGTAAAATACAGACCACAATATACAAGAAACCCACAGACCAACATACATATCTGCACAGAACCAGCAATCACCCTAAACACACCAAAAAAGCAGTGATATACAGCCAAGCCCTCAGATACCACAGCATTTGTACTGAAGAGAACACCCGGGATCGCCACCTCACCAATCTTAAAAAGGCTTTCACCCAGCAAGGACACTCCTCCAGAGAGGTAGATCGCACATTTGAAAGAGCCACCTGGATACCACGTAAAGAACTGCTGCAGTACAGAAGAAACCCCACCACAAATCGCACACCGCTGGTTATGACATATCACCCCTCCCTTGAACCTGTACAGAAAATCCTCAAAAAATTGCAACCCATACTAGAAAGAGACCCTATTCTTAAAAAGATCTTCCCAGAGCCACCCATCCTAGCCTTCAGACAAGCACCGAACCTCGCCAACCTCATCCCAGAAGCAAACTTCCTCAAGCCCAGAACACACCAAAAGAATCCAGACCGTGCCAGGACAAGAAATGCAAAACCTGCCCCCACATCTCCACCACCCCCACTATTACTACACCCCACAACCAAGCCATCAGCATCCCTGGATCTTACAGCTGCACCTCCAGAAAAGTAATATACCTCATCCAATGCACCAAATGCCCTGATGGAAGATATGTAGGAGAGACCAGACAACAACTGCGCACCAGAATGAATGCACACCGGAAATCCATCAAAGACAGAAATACCCAATTACCGGTGGGGGCACATTTCTCACAGGAGGGCCACTCTCCCTCCAATCTCTCAGTCCTGATCCTCAACAGCCCCTGGCTTCTTTACTTTTCATTCCATCCAGGAAGAGCACACACCAACTGCTGAAGCTTCCTTAGCCTGACGAAGGGTTTTTGAACTCGAAAGCTTGCTTAATAACTATTCTCCAACTATTTGGGTTAGTCTAATAAAAGATATCAAATTCACCCAAGGAACCTTGTCTGCCTATGTCCTTAGACCAACATGGCTACAACCTACACCCCTGCAACATGCATTAAAGAATTCTTTGTCAAAGACCATGACAACGACAGGAAGACATTTATGTGCATGGATGGGAACGATTTCTAAGGCTCCCATCAGCAGAGCTCAGCTATGCCATCTGATGTTTCTCTCCTGCTGTGAAATCTGGCTGAGGGTGGGATCCCCGCCATGGGCTGGGGTGTTCAGTCTAATCAGTTGTAGAAATAACAAGAAGTTGTCAGAAAAGTCCCTCTTGGGCAGACCACTCCAACCTTGCTTGCCAGAGTGACTCGTGAGGAGTTTAACCCTGCTAAGGTTCTGGGTTCCCTGACACCCTTTGTCGTCTTACTACACCAGTTCCTGCCATTCCCAGGCACCGATCTAAATGAGAGCTCCTGGGGTCCAAGCACTATTGGCTAACAGGGATGCTGTTTGTGACTGGTTTTGCTGTGTACTTAAAAGAAGAGCTTGGGCCTACAGACAAGTCTCCTTTTTTATCCTTAGACTGATGCAGCCCCAGGAGGTTTGACCAGGGATGGAAGATTTACACAGTGATGACAGTGACTTCCAAGCCTATATATAAACAATCACCAAGTACACCAATCAGACCTTGCCATGAGCTGTCAGTCTTTAAAAATGGGTTGCCCCATCTCTACAGTTGCTGTGGGGAGAGCTCAGTTAGGTACTTTCACAAAACCACTTGTCTCCCTCATTAAGTAGGGAGAGGTCACTTCTTTGTTTAAGATACAATAGGACTGAGGGCTGGATGTGCTGCCAGCTGATGGGCAGCACTCCAGCAACTTCCTGGCTGCATGCGCTTCCACCCCAGTCACCCACAAAAACACCAGTATCAGGCAATTAGAACTGGCAACTGGACGTTCCGCCTGGAGGCATGATAGTGACATGTATGTGGGCAAAACAAGCAGTGCGTGCTTTCCTGGAGGGAGGGCCTGGGCTGGCAAGCTTTTGGCTTGGCCTGGCTGTCAGCAAAGAGTTTTTAGGAGGCAGGTGAAATGAGTGGCTGGTACTCCTGCAGGAAGATTTTTGCTCTGGGGAAGGTCAAGAGGACAGTTTTCCTCCTGCCTGCTGGTATTGTGCCTGTGCTGTCAGAGAAAGTGATAGCAGCATATGCTGACTTCCAACAGTGTGCTCTGGGCGCATGGCAGCTCTGGCTTAAATAAGAGAATAAGGATCCAAAACATATCTTCTGTTGCATACAGCCTCCAGCTGTGATCTTGTCATGTCTAAGCAGGGTCAAGCTGGGGCACTGATTTCATGGGAAAACTCCAGGGCAGTAGAAAGTGATGCCTGCAGATCAAATCAGGAGCATTCTTCCCTCAAGTCCCTGGTAAACCAGGGTCCCAAAGCGGCCAGCATTGGTGGCTGTGCTACTTGAGGGATCATCCTTGAAAAGAGCTCTCCAGTTTACCTATGGAACTTTTTGCCAGAACAAAAGCTGTCAGCTTACTTAGCTAAGTAAGCTCTACCTAGATTCCTCTCCTGCTGCAGGTGGGTGTTCACTTCCTGTCCTAAACTCCTGTGCAATTAAGCCATCTGCGCCTGAAACTTGACCTACTCTGGGGATGGTGGCACTGCTGGTGGTGGCAAACTGGGCTATAGTTTGTGCAGCCAGGTGCAAAGCTGTCCTGGATCTCACATGGCTAAAAGACAATGCAAATATTCAGGACTTCCATAACTGCTCCTTTTTTTTTTTTTTTTAAACTAGGCTGGACTAAGGGTCTCCTCTACTTAAAGAGGAAGTGACACTGTTTTATTAAACCTACAGCACAGCTATAGTGACACAAGTTACTAACAGTATGTTTATGTAGTGCTGATCTGAGGCAGGTGTTTCAAGCACAAGCCAAGGTGCTGGTTCTTCGTAAAGGAACACCTTGAGAGGCTGGATACCTTCAAGTCAGCTAGCCCTGACAATCTACACCCCAGGGTACTCAAGGAGCTGGCAAGCATCATAGCCCAGCCTCTGGCACGGATCTGGGAGAATTCCTGGCACTCTGGTGTAGTGCCCGAAGACTGGAAGAAAGCCAATGCGGTGCCTATTTTCAAGAAAGGGAGGAAAGTGGATCTGGCAAACTATAGGCCCATCAGCCTGACCTCTATCCTGGGGAAAATCTTAGAAAAGTTTATTAAAGAGGCCATCCTTAATGGACTGGCCAACACCAACATCCTAAGGGATAGCCAGCATGAGTTTGTTGTGGGTAGGTCTTGCTTGACCAATCTCATTTCCTTTTATGACCAGGTGACCTATCACCTGGACAAGGGAGAAGAGATTGATGTCATCTCTCTTGACTTCAAAAAAGCCTTCGATCTGGTATCCCATGATCACCTTTTGGCAAAACTGGCCAATTGTGGCCTTGGGTCCACCACGATCCGCTGGTTGGGAAATTGGTTCCGTGGTTGGACCCAGAGGGTGGCAATTGATGGAAGTCAATCATCATGGTGCCTTGTGACCAGTGGGGTCCCCCAAGGCTCTGTCCTTGGACCCATATTGTTCCACATCTTCATTAATGATGTGGACATTGGAGTCAGGAGCACACTGGCCAAGTTCACTGATGACACCAAACTCTGGGGTAAAGCATCCACACCTGAAGACAGGAGGGCGACCCAGGCTGACCTGGACAGGCTCAGCAAATGGGCGGATGAGAACCTGATGGTGTTTAACAATGAAAAATACAAGGTTCTCCACCTTAGGAGGAAAAACCTGCAGCATCCTTATAGGCTCGGCAGTGCTATGCTGGCTAGCACTACGGAAGAAAGAGACTTGGGGGTCATCATTGACCACAAGATGAACATGAGCCTGCAATGCAATGCTTTGGCTAGTAAAGCGACCAAAACGCTGGCTTGCATTCATAGATGTTTTTCAAGCAAATCCCGGGACCTCATTCTCCCCTTGTACTTGGCCTTGATGAGGCTGCAGCTGGAGTACTGCATCCAATTTTGGGCTCCACAATTCAAAAAGGATGTGGAGAAGCTTGAGAGAGTGCAGAGAAGAGCCACGCGCATGATCAGAGGTCAGGAAAACAGACCTTACGATGACAGGCTGAGATCTATGAGGCTCTTTAGCCTGGAAAAGCGCAGGCTCAGGGCTGATCTGATGGCCACCTATAAGTTTATCAGGGGTGACCACCAGTATCTGGGGGAACGTTTGTTCACCAGAGCGCCCCAAGGGATGACGAGGTCAAATGGTTATAAACTCCTGCAAGACCGTTTCTGGCTGGACATAAAGAAGAATTTCTTTACTGTCCGAGGCCCCAAGGTCTGGAACAGCCTGCCATCAGAGGTGGTTCAAGCACCTACATTGAACACCTTCAAGAGTAAACTGGATGCTTATCTTGCTGGGATCCTATGACCCCAGCTGACTTCATGCCCTTTGGGCGGGGGGCTGGATTCGATCTTCTGAGGTCCCTTCCAGCCCTAATGTCTATGAAATCTTGATGTCAGGATGGTGAATGCATTAGCATGCCTGAATGTGGACTATGCAGGTGTATCTGGGTTTTTTGTACCCATATAGATCAACCCTGGTGTCATTCCATGAGAGTACTTACATAGCCACTAGCAAGCTCTTGTACTCCTGACTCCATGTGCAGCACATTACATTTTCAAAACAAAACCCTCTTGCCTTTCAATGTTGTCTGGAACTCTGCAAAGCACCATTCAGGGAACACATGAGCTCCAGGGGCTGGTAATGGGATTAAGAACATTTAATCTCTCGATCTGTTGCTCCAGGACCAGATGAGGTGACAGTACCCAGAAGTCTACTTCCAGAAGGCTCTTCTACAGTCAGTGCAGGGCTCCTACATGAAAGCTGCCAGCCCAAGGGCCTGTGCTAAGGCAATCTCAGACAGGCATGGAATAGACCTGAACATTCTCCTTTGCACGTGGCTGAGGAAGGCCATCTGGGAGAAAAATGAGAACAGCTTTTCCCTGCCACTGTGGTATACTCCACCCCATCCCATTTCTACAACTGCCACCCCTCAGCAGCTTGTACCAGAACTCAATTCACTGTGACATTACAAAAATATTT